GCTTCCATTTTATCACAGCTTCAATCTTGTGAGGGTCAACAGATATGCCAGCGCTCGAAATTACATGACCGAGAAACATAATTTCATTGAGCCAAAAGTTACACTTACTTAACTTGGCATATAGTTTCTCTCGCCTTAGGACTTCCAGAACTGTCTTAAGATGGTGTTCATGCTCTGCTATGCTTTTGGAGTAGATCAAGATATCATCAATAAACACAATTACAAATTTATCGAGATAAGGGTGAAACACTATTCATGAGATCCATGAAGGCAGCTAGTGCATTTGTGAGTCCAAAAGGCATTACTAAGAATTCATAATGACCATATCTTGTTCTAAAGGCAGTTTTCTGTATGTCTCCTTCCCTTATCTTTAGTTGATGATACCCGGATCTCAAATCAATCTTTGAGTATACTTGAGTACCTTGAAGTTGATTAAACAGGTCATCTATTCGAGGAAGAGGATATTTATTCTTTGTGGTCACTTGGTTGAGTTGTCTATAATCAATGTATAGTCGCATAGATCCATCTTTCTTCTTCACAAATAGGACAGGGGCACCCCAAGGTGATACACTAGGTCGAATAAAACCCTTGTCCAAAAGCTCTTGGATCTATTTCTTTAACTCCTCCAACTCAATTGGTGCCATTCTATATGGAGGTTTAGAAATAGGTGCAGTACCAGGTAGAAGATCAATTATAAATTCAATCTGTCTATTTGGTGGCAGTGCAAGTAGATCTTCAGGAAAAACATCTGGAAAATCTCGTACAATGGGGATGTCCTTTAATACTGGCTTCTTAGATTCTTCTCCAGAAATAAAGGCCAAGTATCCCTGATATCCCTTCAATAGTAGTTGGGTAGCACTCAAGGCTGAAATAATAGAAGGGAACTTTTCTTGAATCCCAATGAACTTGAAAGGTGGTTGATCTAGAGGTGAGAAAGTAACAGTCTTCCGAAAACAATCGACACTTGCATGGTATGCGGAAAGCTAGTCCATACCCAAGATAGCATCGAAATCTTGAAATTCTAGTAGAATAAGATCTACTAGCAAATCATGACTTTCAATTGTAATAACACAGTTTCTATATATTTGATCAACTATCAAAGAGTTTCTAACTGGTGTTACTACCATTAACGTATTATTCATTGTCTCACGATTCTTAAGCAGTTTCATAGCAAAACAAGGTGATATAAAAGAATGGGTAGAACTAGAATCAATAAGCACAGATGGTGGCATACCATAATACACCTACAGGCTCTAGACCATGCTCTGATACCATAAAAAGATGTCACATCCTGAATTTATTTATTTATTTATTTATTTCCACACAGGCCAAATAGAGAAACATCACTTTATTCATCATCTATAACCATTTATTACAATTCATTTATTCATCAAATTACAAATAGAAAAGTAAACATAGTGATGTTAACTTCAAGAGTCATCCTAGTGGCTCTACCTAGCGGTAGAGGAAGGTCCGCTCTCCACTAGAATTCGATTTAGTACTAGAGGGAGGTTGCTCTGAAAATCAAAAACAAAGAAAATTCAACAACGCTGAGTAGGAACCCCAAAAGTCAAATCAAGATAAATACATGACCAAAATTCAATCAATCATCCCATTAGCGTATATCAAATACCCGAAGGAGCACTCCCCCAACAGCGGATGGAGAGGCTTTATCCTACGGGATGAGTTTGTGTTCTCCCAACAACGGATGAAGGCAAACTCATATCACACTCCCAACAGCGGATGAAGTGGTGTCCCACACCCACCAAAGTGGGGACACGTTCCTCCCAACAGCGGATGGAGGAACCGTCCAGCCGCCACGTTTGACGGCCCGCTAATCCCCGAAGGGAATCGCCCTACCTGCCCTTGGCAGGGAAATAACATAATCTCACACTAGTCATGTCCATATAGGGATGAAATAACACATTTAAACATTTCTTTCAAATATCATCAATACCAAATAATACAAATTAGCCCTCAGTTGACTTGAACTCTAGTTCAATTGATCAAATTGAACTCAATTTACTAGGACCTAACTGAACCGATCTCTAATCCTTATTTAATTGGTCTGGAACCACCCTAGACTAGTATAATTTGGATTAGATTAGATTCAATTTAGGTTAAACTAACTTGAATAAGTCAATCAATTTGGAATCACCCTGAATTGATCTAGACTAATCAAGCATAGTTTAGTTCAATCAATAATATTGGGCTCAAATCCAACAATAATATTGAGCTAGATTAAGCCAGCTCATCTACTAGTCATGTGCATTATATATGACTGGGCATGCATCACACAAAGCTGGCCCAGCCTTGGCCCATAGACTGGTCATGTGCATCGCATGTGATCGCCCATGATGGTTAGGCTGGGTTAGCCTACGGGCCAAGGCCTGATCCGTGGGTTGGGCCTGGCCTACGGGCTGGGCCTAATCTGATTAGGCCTAGCCAATAGGCTGTGGCCTGACCTATGGGTTGGGCCTGGCCTGTGAGCAATTTCAATCCAAATAATATATAATTTTATACCGCAACATATATTCATTAGCAATATAAACAAGAAAACATAATAACGCATTTAATGATAGACGAGGAGATAAGTTTTAAAACAAGGAAATAACATTCTAATTTGAATGGAAATCATAATACATTAAAAGGCATAAACTTTAATATAACGAAATAACCTTCTAAATTCACATAAAAATCATGCTTTCAATACATATAAAATTTCAACATATTCTAGTCAATTTCTAAATCATACAGAATAACATATTTTAAATTTCAAATTAATGAATTTCACAAAAGATTTTAGATAACATATTTTAATCTAATAATATTTTAATCTAAATAAGATTAAAGATAAACAGTAATATCAAAAATATCAGATAAAACATATAAATTTTTAACATCTTTAAATCTATAATGAAAACTTAATCATGGGTCAACATTATACAAGTGATTACTTTAATGTAATAATAAAAAAAAATTTAACATTTAAAGAATTGATAAACATTTTTCAAACTACAAGCTTTTCAACATTCAAAGAATCAAAATAAAAACTAAAACTTTTAAATTTAAGAAAGGCAGGGAAACCTACCTCTTGTCAACAGGGTGTAACTCCTCGTTCTCTTGTCAACAAGGTGTAACTCCTCGTTCCTCCCGCTGTCAGGCTCGACTAGGTGAGGAACGAAGGAGAGAGATCCCTCCCCTTTAAATAGGAGGAGGTGAGCCTCTATTAAGGAAAATAAATTTTAATTTTCGTATTTATTTAATATAAATTATTTCCATTTAATATACTACCAAATATTATATCATCATATTTGGAATACTTACTAGTTATTTCCTTAATTCATATCAACAAACAAGGAAGTAGATTATGATTTCCTTAAATTATAATAACAAGTAAGGAAAGAAAATCAATTTCTAACTTAAATATTTGATGTGATTACATTTTAACACCCCTGATTAGTCCCACATCGAAAGTGGGCAAGATTAAGATTGACTTATAAGGGTCTAATGAGTATATTACTATCAACTTCAACTTAAGCATTTTGGTCAGTGGTTTAGACCAAACGAAGTTGATAGGCCAGTTAGCCCATCAGGCCCGAGTCATAATATTTGGTATCAGAGCCGACGACCTAACATTTGGGCATGGTGAGAGGGCTCGAGTAGGAAAGGGCTACCCGTAGATGTTGGGGCTTGACGAGGATGTCAAGCCTTTGAGTGGGGGTGATTGTAACACCCAGATTAGTCCCACATCGAAAGTGGGCAAGATTAAGATTGACTTATAAGGGTCTGATGAGTATACTACTATCAACTTCAGCTTAAGCATTTTAGTCAGTGATTTAGACCAAACGAAGTTGATAGGCCAGTTAGCCCATCAGGCCCGAGTCATAATACCTAGTAGCTAGGAAAGGAACTTTATTTCTATTTTTAAACATAGCACACTCTAGAATAAGGCAGTCCAAGGGTACTATATCATTAAACATGAGTAAAAGTTTGTCTTATTATTTGCTCAAGAATAGTTCGTATCTTCTTTATTGAGCCAACGATGGAAAGAACTTTACAGTCTTGCATTTGTTTCCTCAGATGTTCGGAACTTTTCAACATCAATTGTCTGGAACATTTTGGTTCCAGACAGATGATAAATAGAAAACAAATGCTTCTTCAAACTGTTCACCTCTACTGTGCCAACTACAAATGAATTGCCTGCATCCGCTGCTTGACTGCTTGAATTGGATGTTCCCTCAAGCCCCCACAGGAGGTCTTTGGCTCTTAAGCTGGTTCTTCCCCGCACCTCGGGAGATATTTCTTAACACAATAAATCCCATGAGGATGATTCTCTTATCTTGTGACCATCATTCTTATCAAGTCATTGATTAAAAAATTACTCATATTTGACTCCTGATCCATCATGACAGGTTGGCTTTCAAATTTTCTGGTTACTAACTTTATCATCTCATATCTTGTACAACTTTCTAAGTAACTTCTGAGCTCCCAACGTCCTCCCTGGTCTTGCAAAGGCTTTACTAATGAAACCAAGTGTCTCTTCACCAGGAGCAAAACCCTTTTCAGTCATCTCTTTCAGCAGCCTTTTAACCTCAGACCCATTCAGTAGCTTCGACCACCCACTAATTAGTATGTCATATGTTGAAGAATTGGGCAATACACCTCTTTTATTCATTTCATTAAACAACTCAATGGCTTGCTTCATCATTCCAACTTTGGCAAAGTCACTAATAAGCACATTATAGGTGCTAAGTTTAGGAACAAATCCTTTCATTACCATTTCACAATATAGCCTTATAGATTCTTTTCTATTGCTTTGCTTTCCATAGGCTGTAATTAGTATATCATAAGTAAAATTATTTGGAAGTACCACCCTTTTCTTCATCTCGTTTATCAGCTTATCTGCTTCACCAATCCTTCCAGCAGCTGATAGGCCACCTAACAGGGTATTGTAAGTTGCAATACTTGGGGATATGCCTTCAAGAAGCATTTGAGAGTACATATCAAATGCTTTATCAAGATGGCCACTCTTGCAATGTCCTAGCATAAGAACATTGAAAGTAATAGTATCAGCTTTGATCCCTCTTGCCAACATATCCTTCAAAAGAACATTGGCTTTCCTTGTCATCCCAAGAGTACATAAAGCATGAATCATTGTATTATAAAGAGTGATATCATGACCAAGTCCCATATTTACTACCTTCTTGTGTGTTTGTACTATCAAATCTGCTCTCTTACATTTAGAACATGCATGTAACACATTTCTGCAAGCGGAAGAACTTGGGAAGAAACCACCAGCAGCCATTTCAATCAACAAATCCACAGCTTTCTCCGCTTCCCCAACCTCACAGAGACCTCCAATCAGGGTATTGTATGTGATGCGATTAGGCATCAGGCCAACACTCATCATTTCTTTACTAAGTTCAAGAGCCTTATCTATCCTTCCCTCCTTACAGTGTGCATTAATCAAAGTGTTGTATGTCGCATGATCAGGATTTAAACCCATATTTTTCATTTCAGAGAGAAAGGATTTCGCCTGACTAGACTTTCCAAGGTTGCAGAGAGAATTTATAAATACATTATACACAACAACATCAGGAACATGATTTTTCTGTATCATTTCTTGGCCAACATTGAAAGCTGCAGATGTGTTACCAATCTTAAAAAGCCCATCCATCAAGGAGGTGAAATTAACACGGTCCATCAATACACCATTTTGTTCCATATTTCTGAACAGACTCTCTGCTTCTTCCATCCTTCCAGTCTTCCTCAATCCATTAACCAAAGAATCAATGACATAGTTGTTTACATCCAAACCTTCCTCTCTCATTTCCTTATACATCTGAAGAGCTACTTCTTGATTCCCAATCTTGAACATGCCATCTATAACTGTTCCATAGGTTACAACATTCGGACAGGTATTTCTTTCCGTCATCTTTTTCATAGCATCAAGAGCCTTAGCAAGTAGTTGTTTTCTAATATAACCATTGATGATAGAAGAGTAAGTAACAACATTCACATTCAGCAACTTCCTCTGCATCTCCAATAATGCAGATTCTGCTCCCTCCATATCTCCTAACTTGCAACGCCCATCAATCAAAGCTGAATATGCAACATGACTGGGGATGAGACAAGGTGAGCAAATCAGCCGAAACATCTGCTCTGCATCATCAACCTTACTCAACTTGAATAGTCCATCCATGAAGGTAGTGTGTAAAACCAAATCCATCACAACACCTCGAGCAACAATCTCACCAAGAAGAGCAAAAGAATCCCTTTCTCTGCCAGCTTTAAATAACGAATCTACGAGAGTACAGTATGTAACATGATTCGGAGCAACACCCATCTTCTCCATCTCTCTAAAGAGAGCATATGCCTCCGACAATCTCCCCTTGTTGCAGAGTCCATTGATCAGCGAAGTGTATGTGACAACATTAGGCAAGATCCCACTCTTGACCATATCTTCATATAGAACAAAGGCTTCTTCGAGCTGTCCCCTCTTGCAATATTCACCTATGAACGTCGTGTGAGTGATAACATTTGGCTCCAAATGGGCACCTATATCTTCCATCACTCTCCTCGCCATACCGAAATCTCTGTTCCGACAAAACCCATGGATCAAAGTGTTGCAAGTGACGATATCTGGCGAAACATTCTCCGCCATCATACTCTCCACCAGCCCTTGAGCCCCATCCATCTTCCCCATCTTGCAGTACGAGTCAATCAGCGTATTAAACCCGATGACATCCCTTGTGATCCCGCCTTGAACCAGCATATCCGACAGCGACTCCGCAACCCCCAGCTGCCCCTTTCGGCACAATCCCTTGACCAAAATGTTGCAGGTGAAGCAATCAAAAGGAAACCCCTTCTTCAGCATCTCCGACAGCAACCCGAGGGCGGACTCGGCCAATTCTAGATCACAAAAGCCCCAAATGACGGTGTTGTAGGACACGGCGTCGATCTCTGCGTCCGAGCGGAGGACGCGGAGGGCAGCGTCGAGGGAACCCATCTTGCAGAAAGCGTGGATGAGGACGTTGTGGGTGAAGGAGTCGGGCTTGGCGGAGGAGCGGCGGAGCTCGGAGTAGAGGGCAGGAACCTCCGCGACGAAGCCGGCGGAGTTGAATCGGGAGAGGAGGCGGTTCCAGGAGAGGAGGGTGGGGCGAAGGCCGAGGGAGCGCATGTGGCGGAGGGCGCGGAGGGCGGCCGAGAGTTGGCCGCAGGCGAGATGGGCGCGGATGAGGCCGCAGAAGAAGGAGGCGTAGAGGCGGGACTTGGAGGGCGGAGGGCGGTGGCGGCATGATGAGGAAGAGAAGAGGGAGGACAGACGCGTGGGAGCGGAGGAGGCTGTGGTGGTGAAGGCTTCGATTGTGTTCGAGGGACGGAGAAAAAGAGAGAGAGAGGGCATCATGGAGAAAAAAGAAAGACAGGACAAAGGAGGAGTTTCGTAGCGCAAGTTGTGGGCGATTTATCAACTTCGGCCGCAGAAACTTAAAGAGCTACATATATATGGGCCGGGCGGGAGACACGCATCCCAAGCCCGGCCCCTTCACTTTCTTCTTCTTGAGGGCTTATTTGAGGATTAAAAGAAAATAAATCAATTCTGCTGTCAAAATGCATGCACTCATTTTGTGAAGATTTTCCAGTTCCACAAAATGCTCTTCATCAAAATCGACGTCTTTCACAAGATTATAATATGGATAGAATTTATAGTTGTTCAGATTTACAGATAATCATTAAGGTACGGGAGCAATTATATATTACTAGATATTTTTAGCATATTAATCTTTAAATTAAAAAAAAATATATTAAGATCTCATAGGTAAAAGTAAAATATTTAATCTTGTTTATCTTACTAACGTAAAATACAACACGTAATAACACGTGCATAAATAACACAAAAATGATAGGCAAAAAGATAATTTCAACGACGAGAATGATGATATCATGGGTGATTGTTGTAGTGATGGTCAGCAAGAACAATACGACGGTCACCCTTGCCAATATTGATATGAACATTAACGACGAGAGAAAGATGAGGCAAAGTGGTGAGGTATCAATGTCGAAGGAAGAAGAAGAGGTAATGTTAGGATCATAAAGGCATTAAGAGGAGGGCGGGGGAGGGGGGAGTGTGAATTAGTGCTTTCAAAATAATATTCCAATTTAAACATTTCCATTGATGAAACCCGTATCGAAAATGCATTTAACTTAGAATGTGAGTAAGAGTAGTGAGCAACTAAATCAGTTATTAATAGCAAGAAAAAACATAAAGAGAAATATAAATCAGATTTATAGTGGTTTGGTCGTCTTGACCTATCTATATCCACTCTTGATTTCTATTCCTTTGAGATCATCGGCTTTCACTATCGATCTTCTTTTAATGGGCCAATATCAACAACCTTTGTTACAACTCATTCTTCGACTCAACACTTTTCAAGAGTTTATAATACTTTAAAATCATAAGCTTTTCATGCTTTTTCAAGCAAGTATGATTAGGGTATTTATAGACCTCAAATGACATAAAAAATGGAGCCAAAAATTTAAATCATTGGGTTTTTAGAGTACTAGCAGTACTACCGCCTATGTTGAACAGTACTACCACTTGATAACCTAGGCACTAACGGTACCATCGCTTGACATTGTTAGGATCAAGAGCGGCACTAAGGAGGGGGGGGGGGGGAATTAGTGCAGTGAAAAATTCTTCAATTTCATAAAATATTTTGTACGTTCAATTAAAACTAATTTGGAAAGATAGCAACTTGAAACGTATAAGAGCGTAAGCATAGTGAAAGCAAGATGAGGAGGAGAAGTAGTTTGCTATGAAATGATTTGCAATTAAAGTAAATCACTCAAAACGAAATGCAAACCAGAATTTAGAGTGGTTCGGTCAATGTGACCTACATCCACTTTCGGATTCCTCCTCCATCGAGGTCACCGACGTCCACTAAAGGCCTTCCTTCAATAGGTGAAGACCAACCACCTTTTATAGCTTTTCTCCTTTTATCGGGTTTAGGAGAGAATCCTTACAAGCCTTACTCCTCTTTCTTGAATGATTACAAAGCTAAGAGAGGGAGGAAGAAAACTCTAGCACTTTTACAGCCCAAAGATTCAAGATTATAATCACATTTCGGTGCCCTTTCATGTAGAAAAGTTATAGCCCCCAATGGCTTCAAAAATGGAGCCAAAAAGTGTCTTATCCCGATTTTTCGGGGTATTGGCGGTACCACCGTCATTACTGGGTGGTACTACCACCTATAGTTTGACACTGGGCGGTACTACCGCCTGACAATGCTAGGAGACTGAGCTCTGGCTGTACCACCGCTTGACAGGAGTGGTACCACCGTTGATAGTAATAATTGCTAGCGGTACCACCGCCCAGACCACCTGGGAGACTAGGTATTCTAGGCAGTGCCACTGCCAGCCCTAGCGATGCCACCACTGGTAAGAGTCCAACAACTAGGTTGGGCCTTGTATTCGGCCCAAACCAACCTAGCTCCGAGCCTAGTTGGCCCCTAACAGAGTTGATGAGATTACCTCCCAAATCAACTCTAATTATCGTTCTAACTACGATTAAGGCAAGCATGGTCCGGTACGTTGATTTTTCACTTTGTGATCCTCCGGCGAACTTCTCGGCGAGTCTTCCGGCGAACTCCCGATTAACTCTCAGCTAGTCTTTCGGCGTGCTTCCGGCGATCTCCCCATGAGCTTTCGACGAGTCTTCCAGCATGCTTCTGGTGATCTCACGATGAACTCTCGGCAAGCTCTCGGTATATCATTTGAGTCTTCGACTCCGGCCCATCATATGCTTTACGCCTTACTACTATCGCAGTTACTCTTGCATACTTATCTCAATACATGGATTAGATCAAATAATTTACCAGTTGATTTCATCATCAAAATCCAAGATTCAACAATCTCCCCCTTTTTGATGATGACAACCAATTGGTGATGGAATTAATCTTAACTCCCCCTATCTATATATCATAATTGAGAAAAGACACTCTTGAATTCAAAGCCTTTGAATTCAAGCATCAAATTGATAATTTAGACTTATTATCATCATGCACATCATGATTTGCCAATCTAAAGATGATACCACGTATTCGTCGATAGAAATGATGTCAAGGCATGACATCCATTTTCGAGTCAAAATCACATAAATTTTCAGCATCAAAGTAAGCACGATATTGCATCATCATACTCATCATTTGAAGAGATAACATGGAAATCAAAACACAGAATTGCAATCATCAAAGTAAGTAGCATTTTAAGTTTATAACATCAAGGTAAACAACATACGATTACAACATCAAAGTAAACGATTACAACATCAAAGTAAGCAGAATAAAAGAAAGGGATTTCATCCATTTCTCCCCCTTTGTCATAAGCAAAAAGTCATAATTAATTATTTAGGTGGTAGCTAGTCAAATGTCTAAACAGGGTATTAAGTTGTTGATGAATCTATTGTAACTCAGTGAAAATTTGATCTTGGTATTGTTCAAGTCGATCTTGACGTTGTTCAAATCGATCCATCCGAGTCCCTATGTCGTCGATAGATGAGGGAGGTGCTTGCTCTACTAGAGGTGATTCCTCAAAGAGACTAGTTGGAGGATATTGATTACCCATAAAAATTGGTGTTTCAGGTTCTGGTTCAGGTTAGAGGGGATCGGTCCTTCTAGGCAGTCTAGTCCATATACCATTTCTGAATGTACATCTCATCTGTCGAAGTAGATTTCTATTTATGATACTAAATTTATCTAGTTGTATAACTTCTTCTTCAGGTGGAATAGCAATATCATAGGTATGGAGTAGTCTTGTGATTAAGCCACCATATGGAAGCATTATGTCCCTTTTTGATAGTTCAATCATGTTTTGTTAGATTAGGTAACCAAAACAATTGTTATATCCCTTCATAATCCAATACATGGTACCTAATTCCATTTGGCTTCCTTCATCATGATGATATTGTTTTGGGAGAATGATACTTATCAAGATGTGATGAAGTATTTTGGTGCTTAAGGATAGTAAATGTTCCCAGCTTTTTGGAAGAATATTTAAGTTAGGATTACCAAAAATTATTCATAAGGCATCAATGTAAGTAGTCCCAACTATTTCTTCATCCCATTATCCTCTAAAATAACATCCTATTTCTTTTACTGGAATTCCTATGATGTTGTAAATTATTCTATCTGTAATGGGTATTTGATGTCCTAATAGATAGGTAGATACCCTTTCGTCTTCATCTACATATAAATTGTTGTAAAATAGCAACAAGTCTAGGGTAGATAGGTTCACTCATTTGAAGGATTGATAGAATGTCTAGATTAGCAAACCATTGAATAGATTCTAAATCACTTAATTCATCTAAATCAATATATTTACCCTTATGAACATGTTTAGACTCTATGGACGAAAATTTTAGGGCATGTTGATTAGAATCGAAAAGTAGGGAGTCATAATTTTCATATAATCTCCTCTTCCCTTTGTCCCTAGAGGATCTTTTAGAACCCATTGAGACTACAATAATGAAGGCAAATAAGGAGCAAGAACAAGTAATACAAAGGAGAATCAATTTGGTGTAGAGATTACCTTGTAGTTTTTCCTTCTAGTGATCTTCAAAAGGATGTCGGAGATTGATCCTTGATTTAGTAGGAGATGGGTATTTTGGAGTAGCTAGAGGGAGAGCAAGAGATTTGGTGCTGTTTAGAGGAGTGCAGAATGTGTTGGGGTTGGTTCTACCGTCGACCCTAACTTGGGGTTTATAAGGGGCAGGTTGCGGGCGGTGCTACCATCTGCCACCCGTGACAACTAGCGGTGCTACCGCCAATTGGGCGGTGCCACCTCCTACAGGCAGTGAGCACTGCTCACAAAGCACACACACACACTCACACACATCATCTTGTAAAATTTGCATCATAAGAGGAGAAGATCAACATCATGTAAAACTCGGAAAATGTATACCACAAGTTCATGATTCATATCAAAACATCATACAAAACTCATAAAATACATACTATAAGTTCATGAATCAAGTGAGCGAACATTGTAGGATAAAAATCGAGAAAGTCCAAAAATGAAATTCAATAATATTCATGGATTTGGATAATTTAACATCCCTAATTCTCTTCTAATGAAATCAAATTGTTCTTCATTTAATGGTTTTGTAAAGATATCGACTAATTAATGTTTCGTATCAATAAACTCTAATATTATATCATGATTATTAACAAAATCTCGTATGAAGTGATGCCTAATGTCAATGTGTTTTGTTCTAGAGTGTTGAATATAATTTTTTACTAAGCATATTACAATAGTGTTATCACACTTTATATATATGTTTTTCAAGTCAATTCCATAATCCTTTAAAGTGTTTTTCATCCAAAACTCACAAAATACATACTATAAGTTCATGAATCAAGTGAGCGAACATTGTATGATAAAAATCGA